AAGTCATCTGCTCCACCAACAATTTTCCAACCCATTGACTCCATTTTTCCTTCATATATCAGTTTACGCAAATCAAATTATTTTGTTACATACACTTTTCAATATACAAATATAGATAACTACTCTTGTGGTAAAACGGTTTTCTTCAAAAGAATTTGAATGGCCACACCAAAATGTGTCGGCACATTTATACAACCTATAATATCATTTCTACCTATAATATTTAATAAAAGTATCGACATTTATATTTTTCCTTGAATATCTATTTCTACCTGCAATCGGTCCCAAATGCTTCCTTACTCCAAAACCCCAAACAACACATAAAAAACCTTATCGCGATTACTATAATAATAAAAAATTAGGGTTTCGACAACATACTTTTCGATTCGACTGCAGCAACAAACAAACAAACTTCGCTTTAGAAACGCCTTCTGAAATGCAGCAACAATTACTCTTCGATTTCAAAAACTTGTCCGTTCTATCTTTTTTCAGAGGATATTTAGCTATGGCCTTTATATTTTCATCGGATATGTTATTTATATTTAATCGATACAAATACAAAAGTGTCGATACTTTTATGTCAGGTGTCGATACTTTCGAAAGGATAATTACCTATTTCTTTGAAAGTGTCGATAATTTATTACACGTACTTACGAAAGTATCGACACTTTCAATATATCCGGTATCATTTTACCGGTTTTATCATTTTGTTACCGGTTTTATCATATTTTTACCTGTTATATCGTTGTGGATCGATATATTTTTTTAAAGTATCGACACATTATAGGCGCTATAACTGCTTCTCTTTTAAATTCACAAAGTGTCGATCCTTATATAACGTATCGACACTTTTAAATTTACCGGTTTTATCATTTTGTTACGGTTTTATCATATTTTACCTGGTATATCGTTTTGGATCGATATATTTTTTAAAAGTATCGACACTTTTTAGGATTTAAAACTGCTTTTAAAGTTATGTAATTTATGTTTCAATTTATTTAATAGTGTTTCATGTTTTCCACCTACAATATTAATTTAATAATTTAATTTACACAAAATTTATTTGATTGTTTTGATATTTATAAAATATTATTTAGAATTTAAATTTAACAATATTAACCAAATAATTTAATAAATATGTTTCAACAGTGAAATAAGTATGGACACTTTTATAAAAATGATATATACTTTTTTGAAAGTTATGTAATTTATGTTTCAATTTTTTTAATAGTGTTTCATGTTTTCCACAATATTAATTTAATAATTTAATTTACACAAAAAATTATTTGATTGTTTTGATATTTTATAAAATATTATTTAGATTTTAAATTTAACAATATTAACTAAAGATAATAATAAATATATTTTCACAGTGAAATAAGTATGGACACTTTTATAAAAAGGATAGATAATTTACAATATAACAGGTAAAAATATGACAAAACCAGATTCATTATGACAAAACCGGTAAAATTTACTTGATATGTTAAACGTATGGACACTTTTATAAAAAGGATAGATACTTACCGATAACCAAAGTTTACCGGTTACCAAATTTTTTAATAGTTTTTCATATTTTCTACCTAAAACATTATTAGTTGTCAACATAATAGGTACCGCTAAACCGAATTTATTAAATACATTTTAATGTATCCGGTAATGCTGTATATTAGCCGTATATTAACCCGCCTTTCCTGAGACAATCCCGGGAGGGTGGGATATAAATCTAGGGCTCTTTCTTGGTTTTGAAATTTGAATCTTCAAATTATACTCCTTGGATACCCATAAAGCTCCAGGGCCCAAGGCATGTTCATCTGTCCTACATAATTGGAGAAATCGAGGGTATTATTTACTTGTTTCTGGAACTGTTTGATTTATTTTATCCTTTTATCATAGTTCAATAAAGAAGTAACCATTTTTCATGACTACTAGACTACATATTAGTATGTATATCTGAATTTATATTGAAAATTGAAGACCTTAATTCATAAACAAAATTAAAAACCTGCAGAAATTTTACTGAATTTAGAAGTGAGGGTAAAACCAAATGATTTCATGGTATTCTTTTCTTCTTCTTTTTTCCTTTATAGAATTGCAATCATACAAAAGAAAACTAGAAATTTTCTGTCATCACTCGAGTCTATAATCTGCATAATTGGTCTTATAATTCTATAGGGTAAATGAATCTTACACTCAAATGTTCTGAGAGGAGTTAACTAGTTCATGACTTGCAGGGTTCAGAAGCATAAAAAATACCTTTTTGTATTGAGGCAATTTACTATTCTTTCAGGCTCCTCCAATCTAGTTAATGGTCCTCTCCAAAATCGATGGCCTTTTGATGGATTTCAAGATTGAAAAGTTCAAAAAGAAACCCCTTAACCAAGGACTTGTAGGAGATTCAATCAACTCATCATAAGCAGGAATTGGTTTAACCGCTTCATTGCATCGTGTAGAAGACTGAAATTCTTGAAGCAGCCGCTTTATGCTTCCAACTTGACGATCCTGAAACCCACAGAGAACTATCCAACTGAAGGGAGTTAGTTCTGTGGAGACATTAAGTGCCAACCCATGTTATGTTATACACTTGGATACCAATTTCTGATTTCCTGTAACAAAATTTTGGAAAGATCAAATATAATCAGGAAGACGGGGTTCTTTAAATGAAATCAGATTAGAAAAATGACATTGTAAAATGATTATAAGTGCTGTGGTCGTAGACAATGACAAAATCTTCGTATCACCAACTGCTGGTCCAAGCAAGTAGACAACACAAAAACTGCATGGTCGAGACTTAATCACCATGATGCCAGGACCCTCGATTGCATAGCAATAATAGATGGAGAATAACAAACCATTATGATTGCTTGCTATCTTTAGATTTCAATTCAAGGCCTAAAATGAATGGGGTGATTCTCTAAAACCTCTTTGTTACCATCCTTCATAACTTCTACCAAAATATACATAATTCGAGAGCAAATAATCAAAATGAGAGGGGGGGAAATTATGGGGCCATGCAGGCTAGCAGGGGATGCATTTTGGTCCCTTTCCACTTTGGAACATCATCATTCCACTTTAACATGAAAATATTGATAATCCTATGCCTATTTCCTCAGCCTGCAGTGTCCTACATTAAATGTTCAATTTCAAAAGAAAGAATTGAGACAACATGGCCGACAAACTTATAATAACAGGTTTGCTTAGCCATTCACGAAGTGGTAACAAATCAAACATCAAAAGCAAAAAGATAAGAAATCTTACCAACCCAAACAACCGTTAAACCTTTAATTCTAGAAGCCTTGATAAAAAATGTTGATGAAAGAACCCAAATCACCACCTCAAGTGTCCTAAGGTACCAATGAAGATCCATCTTGTGATTCTGGAGATTAATAAGAGGATACATGACTAGCTACATTGCAATACAGGTAGTATAAGAGGAGTTAGTCGAAAGAGAAAATCACCTTGAATCAAACTAATTCACATTCTTAGCTATGTAGGTACTGAAACCATACCTGTCCAGGCCCATATGTAATTTTCCCGCCGCGTTCAGTTGGATAAACATCAAAAGGAGCTTCCTTTATGTCAAAATTCAAATACTTCTCCGAGCTACCAGTACCGATTGTATAAACAGGGTTATGCTGAAGAATAATTAAAGAATCCCTGCAATCCTAGTGTTCTTGAATCAATGCTCTTTTTTTTTAACAATTTGTTTCTTGCAAGACCATGCCTTTCCATATGGAATAAACTCCTTGTGCAACTCAAAACTGTCGCACCTATGGAATTCAAGTTAAAAAAGCTTGACTTTTAGGGGGAAGAGGGATGAATGGAATTTGTTTGTGAAAATGTCTGAGAAAGACGGAGGAACTTACGCTTTTGTTTTCGTTGGAATCACTGGGTTGAGTTGATGAGGAGGATCCTTTTGTTGCTTTACGGTTGTGCATGTTGTTGGGATTGTTCTGACACATAGATTCGATGCAAGAATCATGGCTTGTGAATCTCTACAATGATTGAACAACATTGGCTTTTTTCCGAAATGCCAAGTCCTCTGTGAGAGCGAAGAAACCAAAATTAGAAATGCGCGAATGCATGTTGACAATTTAGTCGGGCATTTTTTTCTTCTTCTTTTTCTGTTCATTTGTTGATTTATGGACTACATTGTCGTCAGTTGATAACAGAGAGGCCTCAACTCCAAAGCCCCTCATCCACTATATATATGTAATGCTAACCGCTGAAATTCACCCAAGGCAAAGCAATATCGAACTTCTTTAATTTGCTGCTACAGCTGCATCGTATTACAGTGCTGTGATTAACTAAAGAAAAAGATTTTTTCGTGTGATGATGAACATCATTGATTCTTTCCTCTGTTCGTATGTATCTTCAAATATTGAACTTATTTCAAGTCGTTTTCATTTTAATCCCATGATTTTGCATGAAATGGTAATTTGTTTCTTAATGAATTATGGGTACATGAATCCGTTTGTAAGTTACAATTCATCTGGGGAGTTGCTTCTTCATGACTAGGGCTGTAAACGAGCCGAGTCGAGCTCGAGTATTACCGAGTCATTGAGTTTTAAAGTTTTCACTTTAGTCACCAACATTAGTTTTTGTTTACAGTTTAATCATTCATGGTTAGTTTCTATTAGTGAAATATATTCAGCAATTAGTTATAGTGATTAAGCTGTTTAAGCAATGGAGAATTATTGGGTGGACCTAGGTTTGAATCCCAGCTCCAACCCTTTTGTTTTATTTTTTAACCAACCGGAGATTAACTATGTCAGGTGACCAAAATAAAAACGGGAGCTAATGTTGGTGATTGAAATAAAATTTTTAAATTTTGATGACTAAAATGATTTTTTTAAAATAAGTGACTAATAGTATAATTTACGCATAATTCCTTCTACTAGTTCCGGGATAAAATGAAAAATATACTAGTGTTGAGATGTGCTTCTTGAAGACAATGAATGCCCTTTTATTTTCTGTGTTCTTTATCTCCGTCCCTATGCATCATCTATGTGAATTACATCCTAAAAATGCATGAAAGTAGCAAATGATGAAAAGACAAAATAAACTTGCACCCATTTGGACTAATCTACGGCTCCAGTGCTTCTGAACACATAGCGCATGTGATCGAGGTCCTGGAATTGGTGAAAGTGCAGACATCACAAGTCCAAGAACCTCGTTCGCACATTGTACAGAATGTTGAAGAACCTTCATTTTCGAAGGAACAATAAGTACAAGCCCATGGTTCCATGGCAGCGCCAGTGGCAGAGTTATCGTTAGTGTTCGTTTTGAAGTCTGGAGCTCCGATGACAGCCGCAGCAATAGCCTCAGTCCTAATCAACTTGCGTCTCTTTCGAACACTTGAAGAATCAATCAACTTGCGTTTCTTTGGAACACTTGATGAACCCCCTGAGTTTACATCAGACAGTCCATTCTGCAAAGCGGTAACCAAGTTGTCAAAGTAATTTCTAGTCACACTAGTGAGCAAAGTAAGCTTTTCACGGAACTCGATGAATTCCATTGTTGAGCGCTTGAGTTTGAGGAATGGCAGCAGCTCCTTTTCAGCACAATCATGAAGCCTCTCCAAGCCAGACTCGGCCTGGCCTTGCAAGTACTCAAACAAGTTCCTTTTAGCCTGGCATTCATCCGGTAAGTAAAATCCATATGCATAGGTCCATGCAAGTACCCTCCTGCATTCAATTATCTGTTGCCATGCCTTTGTTATAAAACTGATTTCAGCCGCAGATTGTTCTTGAACATGACGGACAATCTCAATCTGTTTCGATTGCACATTTTGCAAGTCATCAGCAGCCTTCATCATCGACTTCTTATTGGTCGCCCAGCGTTCAAAGTGATGGGCGTATTTCATCATGTATTTCTTGGCCTTCTCTCTTTTTTCCTCTTCAGGGTTCTCCCTGAAACGATTACAAAGGTTATGCCTTTTCCATTCTTTAAGGCAAAGCCAGCAAAACTCGAAATAGCAAGGCGCCCTACAAGTCATATGCGAACACCCCATGTTTTTTTCGATCGGCCTTTTGCATTTGGGACAAGGCTTGGTAAAAGCTAGTATGTAGTTCATATTCTCAGACTCCGAGCTGTTCTTTAACATCCATTTTGACACAGTTTCACAGTCCACCGGACGATGAGCTTCTTGAGTACAATTCCAGCAAAAGGAATGGGAGCAAAGGCAAGAAACATCGAAACTTTCACTACCAGCGACAAAGTCTACAGCGTTTTCACAGCCTGGACCAGGACACCACTTGATCATCTTGTTTGATTCAACATATGACATGACAAAGTAACCAGAATACTTCTTTTTCTCTTTCTCGGATGCAAATAGACCCACCATGTCTTCTCCCACAGCAGCACGACAAGGTGGGTTGGGACACTTTAGCAATAAAATTTGAGGGCCATCAAGAATGGCCGTTTTAATGTAGGAACTCCAGCAATCATTACAATAAGGATGTCCACATCTTGTGGACTTCAACCCATCACAAGGGTAGTATTCAAAGCAGATTTCACAAAGCATATTGCCGCCATGATCAGGTGATTCGACCAATGTTTTAACAAACAAGCCTGCCTTTTCACGGGCTAGTTTTTCATCAGCAAACCACGCATCAAAAACATTACTAACACTCCAGTGAAAGTGAAGGAGTAAGATACCTGCCTCGGTTTTCGATAAAGAGAGGACAGAGGAGACTTCAGCGACAGTATCAGTTACACGCTGACGTATATCTGCTTCGGTTAGAACAGTACAATTCTTGCGGATCATCCGAAAATCATCAGTCTCATCTTCTTCGAGCGCAATCCCATCGTCACCATCGTCGTGATCATGATCATCTTCACGGCTGTTGTTGCCTCGGTGTGGATGCAAGTCATCATCTGTATTGTCGTTGTAGAAGTCGTCATGGGAATCGTTCACAACAGAATCAGCCATGACAAAATAAATCTAGCCCTAGAAGAAAATAGGAGACCTAGGATACTACAACAGCGGAGGGAAAGAGGGGATCGTTTAGCTTCAAAACCCTTTTCTGTTTCTTTGTGTTTCGAAAAGCGAATCCTATGAAATCTGAAAGACCTATGATAAACAGAGTGAGAAAAACGGTTTATTATTTGTTTATTGATAATAATAAATCCCAAGGGAAGCGATTTTATTTTTAATTTATTTAATCTTCTCCTTCTCATTCAAGTAATTGACACCATCCCTATTGAACAAAAGGAAAGAATAAGCTACGGAACCCTGTGACAGTGAGCCATCTATTTGTATGCTCGGACTCTCACACCCACCGATACAAACTATTTCTCCTTTAAAACTGCTCACATATGTCGTTTGGTTGAATTATGTTTAATTACATACAAAATTTTCACCCGACAAATTTAAATCGAACAATATAACAATTTATCTGATAATGACACCTTATAAAAGTGAATTTAATTTAAAGTATAAAATTATACATCACTAATATATCGGATATTAATTAAAAAATATTATTTATTTTACTAACAAATAAATTTTAAATTTATTTGGTTATAAATACCTCGAACATATCAGAATTTATATAGAAATAAATTATAAATGTATAAAAATTATATTGTACCAAAAAGAAGAAGAAGAAAAAGCTGTAGAGATTCAAATTTCATGGTTTCAACTCAAACAATGAAAGATGGTCACTAACTTGCTATAGCCTATAGTTCCTCCCTCATTACGTTCCAAAGACAAGTTTAAGGAAGACGGTTCATAATGGTGGGCGATTGTATGGCAACTGAAATATCATGTAGGATATCAACGGGAAGGGTTCAAATTGTAAGTAATTTGATATTGTTTAAATAGATTTTGAATTTGAGTCTTTGTGTATGTAAAAAATTACTCATCAAAATCAGGTATTCGATGCGATCCGAATTAGACATGACAAAACTTTGAAAATGGGAGGACAACAAAAAAAATGATAAATTACAAATTTCATCATTAAAGTTTACTTTCTCTCTATTTTGCTTACTGAACTTTAAAAGTTTTCAATTTCCTCACTAAACTTAATACACTGTATTTTTTTATTTTGTTGTTAAATAGTTAACGGCTTTAAAACGACGTCGTTTTTAAAAAAATCTTCACCAAAATGACATTGTTCTTCTATATAACAGTCCGTTTATAATGTCGTCAGTGAAAAAACGACCAAGTGTATTAAGTTAAGTAAGAAAACTAAAAAAAATTAAAATACAATGAGTGGAATAGAATAGAGAACAACGTTCAATTACCAAATTTATAATTTACCCAAAAATATATATCATGCAGGGTCAGGTGCTGGGATTTTGGTTTTCCGACGTGGAGAGGGTAAACAATGGTGCTTGGATGTATCGTTTACAAACAGACATCAGTACTTGTATCAACAAAGTCAAAGACAGTATTTTACCCCGAAAAATACCTACGTCCCAGTCCCTTTCCCTTGAGAAACAAAACACAAATCATTTGAAGCTACGTACCTTATTTAAGAATTGGAAAGAAACTGACAACGTCGACCATGAGAGGAACAGGGATGAATTTAAGGCAGAAAGATGACGCAATCACTTCCAAAAATTTCAAATTAATATACATTTTAAATATCTATTTATATTTTTAATTGATAATTTATTTTCACCTATAAGTTCATACCTCTTAAAATTTTAAAAATTCACCTCCCTAAAAATGCAATACATGAACTGTTAGGTGAGGACATGAACCAAAGATATTAATCCTATTAAGGATGTTGGCTTGGCATTTCGAGTAATCCTGGGATGGAATAGAACAAACAAGACTCTTCAATCCAACAATGGGGAGATTTGAATTTAGTAAAGAATAGGAGCTCTCATAAACATCACAGCAAAATTTATGCAGGCAAACAAGCCATTTTACACTGAACGTGATATAATTCAACTTTTATCCGATAATGAATGAATATAACGGGTAACTCTCAAATATTTTTTTTTTGTTTTTTTTGGGGGGGGGTTCGTCTATTATAATACAACAATAGTAATAATTTGAGCAAGCTAAACACGGCTCCCTACTCCAAATTGAAAATACAAGAAGATTATACAGAGGGCAAAATCAAATCTCTCCCTTACATGGAAGCAAGAAGGTCTCTCATTTCACTAACCGATGGGATGGTTTCTGTGGGGTAAATTTTGGCAACAAGTTGGGCAAAGCTATCATACTTGTCCAGAAACTCCTTCTGTCAAATTTCCAAGAAATAAAAACTAGTAAGAAACCAGCAACTCCAATTCCCTCCTTCACCCCTCACAAGCCACTCACTCGCATTTTTTTCACAATGCACTTCATTGGCCACTTTGTAAAATACTTTGGCAAAACTACTGAAGCTTAGATCAGTTTGAGAAACAGAAGTTAGCTTACCTTGCACTTGTCCCACAAAGAGGGTAACAGTTCCTCGGACGTTAAATTCTTTTGTAACTTCTTATACATAGCGGCAATGGATTTGTCAACCTATAGGAGACAAGTCGAGAATCAAAATACAAATTCCACCATTTGAGACCAAGGGCAATGTATTCCAAAAGTTGATGATGAACTCACCCCAGATAAACTGGATTTTAACATCTTCCGTAGATCCATTTTAGACAATCCAAGCTGAAAAGGTATCTGAGATTTGTGAAGGACAAAGTCAGCCAAAACATTCATGTGTTAACAATCTGCAATAGTCTGGAGATGACTATTGCCACTAATTTAATTATTAAAAAAAGTTTATTCCAATTTCTAATGGGATTTTGGATATGTCTAAAGGCGAGAAGGGGTCGGATTGAACATTATGACTTGTTCGATAAGCACAAACCATACGACCTCAGTGGTAAAGAAACTGTTGTTATTCCTTGAGGTCCCGAATTCGAGCACCATGAATTCTAGGAGTGATTGAGAATTATCTTAAAACAAATATTGCCTTATACTTATCTCAGATTAATAAAATAAAATAAAATAAAATAAAAAGACTTATTCGGTAAATTTAGTTAAAAGTGAGATAGATGCTCGTCAAGTGTGTTTGCCATTGCTTTTGGAGCCATAAGCAATGCTTAACATCATCCTTCAGGTTTGATTGTGTCATAGCTCTATAATTAATTCAAATTAAGTTTATTGTTGGATGAACTACATTGCTGACATTGCCCCTGAAAAGGAAACAGTAAGTACAGCTAGTCCATGAACAGCCAACCATTGCAATGTTAAAATTGGATAGGTTAGATCTATGGTCATTGGGTCCTAAAAAGAACTACTAAATTCATCAAGTTATTCCAAAGAATTAAAACAGCTTTTCAGGCCAAAAGTGCTTTTCGAAGTGGGCAAAATTATTCATTTGATCTCATTTATATCACCAAACCTTTAATATTTTCAAAAGCAATGTCTAAAATGGTCGTTTTATTTATTCAAAAGCACTTTTTGGCAGCAGTACCAAACACATAAATCTTAAACCAAACAATTCAAAAGCACTTCTTTCTAAACACCTTTCTCAACACTTTCCCACAACACTTCTCAAAAGCGATGTTAAACTAGTATGCATAAATTAAGAACAGGCAAAATAAATTCATGAGCATACTAACCTCTTCCGCTGAAATTGTGAACATTAAATCCTCGATCCTTCGAGCAAACTGGAAAAGTCGTTCAAATTGCTGCAAAGAGAAAACAATTTGTAAAGACCAAGTCACTGCCTGACAATAATGAAGCAACTAAAAGGCCACTATGGTGGATTACTTACATAGTATATTATCATGCTGATATGACGTGTACATGCTTGTTCATATGCTTCACTTGCCTGGTGGTAAAATTTGGCTAATGTAGGCACAACATTGGCCAGGTCATACAAACTGTAAAGTGTGCATGGAAAGGAAAAAAATTGGCCTCAAGAAACAAGTGTAAATACATCCATAGCCATAGGAAAAAGAAGATGCAGACCTATTCTGAAATGCTGCATAATTTTCTAAAAGAAACATATCAGCGTATTTTGGATCCGTTTGTGCAAGCTTTTCAAGAGTAGCAAACATAACACTAACCTGTCAAACAATATTTGCAATGTGATTATTCTTTCAGTAATATAGGCATACATATTCAGAAAAAAATAACATGGAGGAGTTGATTTGATACCACAATCTGAATGAACTAAATCTTATTAAGAAAGCAAGGATATATATATAAAATATATATATATAAGCTGATAAGCAGCTAACCAGATCATAAGTACATGGAAGATGGATGTACTTATTACTTGTCAGAAGAAGTAGCTAAAACGAATGTGCTTTGGTAACTTATCAGTTATCACTCTATTTCATGCAACAATATGCTAAATGGTAGCAACACTAGAACTCGGTACATGCTCAAGTCTTATCATGATGCCAAAGGCTACAATACATCATGAGCTCACTTAACCACACTATTCAACTAATCCAAAATAAAAAGGATATCAAGCTGAAAATGAGACTTACAAATTTGGTGTATGCTTGATCAACTAAGTCCCGTGATTGTCCCTGAATGTACTGTTCCATGCGGGTGGCTAGAGTAGCAAAGCTGCGCATAAGTGCATATAAACTGTTTAAAACCAACTGAAGTAGAACATGGCGGGAAAAGAAATAACTAAACATCACATTATAATGTTAAGCCTAACTATTTTAGAAATAACATTTATAGCATATATTGATAATATGTGCCAATAAAAGCAAAATCATTTCGGATCATAAAAGGGAACAAGTACTTTTTTCTCTTTACATTTTTATCAGCTTTGATCTCAAACTACGTTGCTCAGACTACACTTTTATTGAAGTACTCATGTCAGACACTCATGTCCAACACATGGATACATGGATGTGACCTCAAGGATACTCCAAATATATGGAAAAACTTAAAAAGCCTAATCATACCCATATTGGATGCGTAGCCATGTCCAACACTAAGAACTGAATCTGAGTAACATAGGTCTCAAATTTGCAATCTCTGAAATCTTATAAAGGATATTATTCACTTTACCGAGGGATGTATGACAGGAC